CGCTTGGGGCCCAGGCCTGGTGGCGGGGCAGACTGGACCCCAGGCAGGTAAGAGCCTCCAGGGGCCATGCTGGGCCTGTGGAAGGGGTGCCTGTGGCTCTTGGACAGGGCTGCGAGCTGGCCGGACTCTCCCCTCCCTCTCCCGGTGCAGCTCCTCGGGCCGTGGTACGTCCTCGCCGTGGCCTCCCAAGAGAAGGGCTTTGCTGTGGAGAAGGGCTGGAAGAACGTTGAGGGCGTGGTGGTGGCCCTCACCGCGGACTACCGCCTGGAGATGCGGACCTCGCGGCACAGGTGGGGCAGCGCGGCCATCCCAGGACGCCCAGGCCTTCCTCCGCCTCGGGCGCAGAGCCCAGGGAGTCTGCTCCTGGCACTGTGGCCCTGGGCGCCCCCACTCTGCACACATGCCCTTCTCCACGGTGGGGCTCTGTCCGCTGCGCATGTCTGTCCCCGAGCTGAGCTGGCCCTGTCTCTGCCCGCCCCGAAACCACCCAGCTAGACCCAGGCCAGGGCGCTCGCTCCCACCCCATGTGCCTGCCCCTCTGTGCCAGGGTCTGTCCCCCAGGACCAGGCCTGGTGACAGGGCGAGCAGGGACGCAGACCAGGGCCCTGGTATTAGCCCAGAAGCCCGTGCTGAGTGGGCCCCGCTGTGGCCGGCAGAATAAATGTCCACCTGGGACTGGGGCCCTCGAGCCCCGGCTCAGGCGAGGGTGCCTCTCGCATTTTCTGACCTCAAGGCCTTGGGGCAGGAAGCAGGACTGCACGACTCCATGTCAGTCCCCAAGGCCACGCGGCTCGGCTCTTCCCTCGGCCTCAGCCAGGCAGGGAGCGGGCGCTTCGACTCATGGCGCTCACGCTTGTCCAGGTACATGGACGCACATGGGCCCTGGCCGCGGCGCACAGCAGCTCTGCCTGCCCCTGGCACTTCACGGCCCACGCTGCCAGCCTCCTGCACGCCACTGTGTGGCCTTTCCTTTTCCTTTTTAAATTTTTTTTGGTTTTGCTTTAGGCAGGGGTGCTTGCCAGAGAGAGACAGAGTGAAAGAGACAGTGAGAGAGAAACTGAGAAATCAGCCTCCAGGGAGTAGGGCCACTCTAATCCCTTCTCCTCTAGTCTCCTCTTGGGATTTTGGGCACACACGCACACACACCCAGTGTGATTTTCAAGCAGCTGGGTCTGGGACTCAAAACACACAGCTGACCACACAGGATACAGTGCCTTAACCTCCACACCACCTGCTGGCCCTCATGGTCTTTAAACATAATTATTTATTTAATTTTAAATTCTTCTTATTATTCACATTTGACCAGAGAGAGAGAGTGAGAAAGAGGACGGGAGAGAAAGCAAGCTGTCAGGTCTGGGACTCGAACAGTGCTCAGCCGCGTGGGAGGCCGGGACCCTAACCACTACGCCACCTGCTGGCCCCTCCGTGCTCTTTTTTTTAAAGTTATTTTCAAATTTTGCCAGAGGGCTCACGTGCTTTCCGAAAGTCAGAGAGGGAAAGCGAGAAAAGCCGTGTGGACTCTGACGTCTGTGCTCCGACCAGGCCACGCTGCAGCCTCCTCCCCACCCTCCTCCGGGCTCTCGACGTGCATGCACATGTGCCTGGCGAATTGTCCCAGCTGCCGGTCCAGGGCTGGAATCAGGTGTCGGCCGTGTGGGTCCAGCCACCTTCACCACCATGCCGCCTCCTGGCCCTCTACCTGTTATATTCTCAATGTTATTCTTTTTTGCCTTTTTGTTTTCAATTTAAGAAATTGTGGCGATGAAGCCTAACATGGGCCACCTCGACCCCCCCGGGCGTGCGCCGTGGCAACACCGGCCTGCGTGCTGCCGTCCAGCTCCAGAACAGCCTTGTCGTCCCAGGGAGCGCCGGCTCCTCCCTGCCTCTGGGCCTGACCACCGCACAGCCCTCGGGGCGGCACCCTGTGCCCGGCTCACCCGTGAGGGCTGCGTGTCGTGGTGCCTTCCCTTTGAGGCCGAGTGCTGGTGCTCCTGCGGTGGGCGCGTGTGGTGCCCATGTCTGCACCTGCGGCCACTGGGAGTGCGTGGGTGTGACGGGGGAGGGAGCGTGAGGCTCTGCCAGGCCTTCGCCCGTTCTGTACTGACCTGGCAGTGACCACCTGTCTGGTTTCTCAGGTGATTGTATGTTCTTTTTACAGCTACACAATGTTCTTCTTCCTCTTCTTTTTAAATAATTGCCAGAGGGCGCACACGCTAGTGCACACGTGTGTGTGTGTGCATGGGAGACAGACCTCCAGTGGGGCTTGGTCATGCCACACTCCCCTACCACCCTCTCTGCCTCTGCCAGGGTCTTGGGCATATGCACACGTGCTCAGAGTGGTTTTCAGCCGCTGCCGCTGGGATTTGAACCGGGGTGGGCTGTGTGGGATCCGGCTCCCTGTGCTCAGGCTAAACATCTGCCCTATGGGCTGGGCCTGGGGCTCACCGTCCTGACCAGCGGCGAGTCCCAGCGTGTGCAAGTGACAGGTGTGGGCATGAGCTGGTAAGCTGGCCTGCCTCCTGGGGGTTATTCTCAGATGTGGGTCTGCAAGGCCTGAGTGTGTGTGGCCCAGCTGTGGACAGAGCTGCTCCGTGCCATCCCACAGGTGTCTGAGACACTGCTTTCTCACGTGTGCTGGCCCAGCGAGCTGCTCCTGACAAGCACGGCTGAGCCTAGGGTCACGTCACCTGCCTTTGCTGTTTCCGGGGAGCTCAGGTGCAGGTCGGGGGCCCTGACGCTCAGTTTTGGACACGACGGTGTTTCTGGCTGACTTGCAGGAAGCCCTCTAGCCCATGGCTGGAGCCCTCTAGCTGCACACAGGCAGAGTGCAGGCGGTGGTGGCCCAGTGGCAATGCAGGCCCCTGGCCCCCTCCGGGGGCCTCCGGAGGCCCTCCGCAGGCCTCGCTGAGCGAGGGGCCTGCGACCTGGGCCAGCTGTGATGAGCAGACGGTGGGATGCTTGTCTCTGTGTCTCTTTGTCTCCATGTCTTTCTTTCCCACGGAAGAAATAAATTTAGGAAAATATTAGTTACAGGAAAAGAAAGAAAGAAAGAAAGAAAAGACAAGGCAAGTTACAAATATATTCCCTAGTTTATTATTCTCAGTGTTAAGAAGTTCCTCTCTGGCCTGAAGGTGCCCAGCGGTGCACATCCACCTTCTCTTTTGGGCTTCTCGGTCTGAGTCATAGTCAGGAAGCCCTTTCTTGGCGGGGTGCTCAGAGGTGCCTCACAACCTCTGCATACCTGCAGCTTCTGCCTGGGGGAGCATGAGTCCCTGGAGGGCCACTCGACTGCCCAGCATCGCTTCATGAACTGTCTGTCTGTCCAACTGGTCCTACCCCCCCCCATCTGCTCCGGGCAGCCTGCCTGTGCTGCTCCTGTCTGGCTACGCTGCTGCCCCGTGGGCTATTCTTTTTTTTTTTTTTTGAGAGGTTTTTGCTATAGGGCGTGTACGCTTGCTGGAAAGAAGAGAGAGACGGAGAGACGGAAAGCGAGAAACCACCCCCCCCTAGGGGGGATGGCTACGCCGCAATCCCTTCTCCTCCATTCTCCTCTTGGGATCTTGGGCACGCACGCACACATGCCCGGCATGAGTTTAAGCCACCGGGTCCGGGACTCAAACCACGGTCGACTACATGGGAGTCCAGCACATAGCCATTACACCAACTGCTGGTCCCCCGTGGACTATTCTTAAAACGTTATCCCTCTGGAAGAGAGAGTGCACTAACAGGGTTGTGACGCTACAATCCCCAGCCTCCCCCAGCCCGGGAGCATAGGCACGCGTGTGCTGGGTACCCAGGTTGTGGGACATGCACTGGAACCTCCCTGCATGGGTCAGCCTCGTGGAGCGGCGTGGTGGCCCCTGGCCCCTGGCAGGCGCAGGCTGGCTCCCGCTGGCTGTCCCTCCTGGCGGTGTCCTGGTTCTCGTAGCTGCCCCCGTTTTCCTGAGTGATCCAGAGCCACTGCAGTAGGCCGGTTTTGTCCGGGCTGTGAACTGAGAGTGGGAATGTGCCCCCCGAGCCATCCGCACTGCAGCCTCATCGCCTGCCGGCCGGCCGGCCTAACCATCTGCTTTCTTTAGTACACCTGGCCTCCAGGGCCTCCCGGAGTGCTCCCAGGAGGGCTCTGTGCTCCTCAGGCTTCCGGGCCAGCGTCCCCGCAGAGGACCAAACTGGCCAGTGCCTGGGCACAGGGGGAGGATGGGCTTCCTGCTGGCCAAGCCCACTCATGGGACTCCTGCCCGTCTGGCCAGTCAGGATCTTGGCTGTTCTTACCCTAGGCCGGAGGGGTGCAGCCAGAGCATGGTGGAGCTGCGGAGGCAGAGTTCTGGATGGGTGTTCGAGAACCCCGGTGAGTGTGAGGGGACAGGCCCTGGCTGGGCCTGGGTGGGGGCAGCTTTGTCCAGGGAGGAAGGGCCCAACTGGCCAAGTTGGTGCCGGTCTTGTGGGCAAAGGAGGGCCCTGGACCGACTGGAACCAGTCCTGGCACACTTAGATGCCAGGGCCCAGCCAACGTTCTTGGGCCCTTCCGTGGGGCAGGGACCGACCAGAGGCTGTACCCCCCCCCAAGGCTGCACGAGCCAACCTTCACCTGTCTACCACGGCAGAGCCACTTGGCATGGGCGCGGGTGCGGGGGACAGAGTATAGAACCTCTCCTGGGATCGGGGTTTGAGCCCTGAACCAGGTCTCTGTCTCGGGGCCGGCTGAGGCGCCCTCCTCCCCTGAGGCGCGTTTGTTCTCCAGCCCTGGGCGTGCTGGAGTACCGGGTTCTGGGTACCAACTTCAGGGACTACGCCATCGTCTTCACCCAGCTGGAGTTCGGCGATGAAGCCTTCAACACCGTGGAGCTGTACAGTGAGTACACGGGCCGGGGCTGGGCCGCGCCCCTCCTCCAGGGTTGGCGATGGCTTCTGGGCAGGAAGCGGACCCAGGGCCACGGCCCTCCCTGGCGCTCAGAGGCCGCTCACCCCCGAGGTCGGACGGCCACAGCCAGCCAGGAGGCCATGCGACTCTTCACCAGCTGGAGCAGGGGCCTGGGCTTCCTGTCACAGCAGCAGGCCCAGCTGCAGAGGGACCGTGAGTGTGCGGGCGTGGCCACAGGGTGTGATGGGTGCATGGCCCAGGGAGTCGGGCAGGGCTGAGGGGTCTCCCGAGAGCCGCCCACCCGCCAGGGTCCCAGGCGAGGGGCCCTCAGCGCTGCTCTTACCTCCCTCCTAGTCACATGTGCACACGAGATCCTCCAGGTGGGGCTCCCTGGCCAGCCCCAGGCCAGGGGAGGACGCCTCGCCCAGACTGCTGCCCGGAGGCCCTGCTGCTCTGACGGTGGTGGAGCGCGTGGCGGGTGCCGCTCCGGGTCTCACACTTGTCTTGGTTGGCAGTGACGTTCGCAGCCCCCGTGGACATGGTGCCCAGTGGCCTGGTGGGGAACAGAGGGCTGCGCTCCGCTGCGTGGCCCAAGGCTGGGCCCTGGGCCCGGCAGCTCCCAGGGACTCTGGCCTGGGTCAGAATAAAGTGCTGCTAACAGCAGTTCCAGTGACGCCTCTGGCTGTGCTGGGGCAGGCAGGGCTCAGCACGCCTCCTTGGGGCTCAGGGAGAGGAGGGTGGAGCAGCCCCACGATGAGAGGAACGGCTTGTGACCTCAGCCCTCACAGGAGCCCCCCGGCTCAGGCTGGCTTGGGGGCAGGGGCTGGCAGGGACCCCACACGGCCCTGGGCAGGAGGGTGCTGATCTGGCCGGCCAGCTCTGGACTACGGCGGGGGGGGGGGCACGGTGCCCCCCGGCGCCGCG